TTTCCCTTCAGATCAGCACATTCAGTGCTACACAAACTTGTGTGTGACTCTACTTCTTTTTGGAAGTTCTTAAAACCATGTTTTTATTTGAATTCAGGCAATTCTAGGAGTTTCCAGAGGTTCACTGTCACCTTTTGAGGATTTTTTTAAACCACAAAATGGCACTGTCATGGATTCTGTTGGCATCCATGGGAGATTAAGATTAGAGATGTTTGTTGCTACCACCTGCCCAACCATTGGCTAGGCACCTGGAGATACAGAGGTGAGCAAGACAGACACAGTTCCTGTTCTCATGAGCTTACAAGCTTGCTGTCCAGTAGGTAAAGAATAAGGGCAATATATAACGTGGGGTGCTGTGAAATTATAGAGGGCCCTGGGAACCCACTGAGGAATTTGGACTTGTTTTGATGGGAAATTAATAGCTGCTGAAGGTGTAAGTCAAGGGAAACAAAAATTCCTGTTAGAATCTATCAACAAGTAATTATTTAGCATTATTTGCAAATCACAGGAAGGACACCAAAAGTACAAGTGCCTATTTTTATGACCTTAGGACCTAGCCATGACAAGGCATACACATGCACAAGATGGCACACGGCGAGAGCCAAATACACAGTGCAGAGAAGTACCTTAGGAACAGAAGGCGGAAAGAACATGTAGTTCAATTCAACAAACCCAGACTGAGCACCTGTCATGTGTCACGGGCTTTGCTTGGAGCTGGCGGTGTGAACGTGAATTAGATAGCCCCTGTTAGTTGGGAGGGAACTCGTAACTTAAGTTGGTTAATATAGTATCCCAGACACAGCACAAATGGAATTCTTAGGTATAAAAGGAATACTAAGGCAGAAGGTATTAACTTTCTTGGGGATGGGGAAGGGTGTTGAAAAGGTGTTCGTGGAAGGGGTGATCACACTTGGGCAGGGTGTTAAAGGATCAGCAGCAATTTATCTGGCACATGGGGTGAAGGGGGCATTGTAGGCAGAGGAACACCTTGAGCCAAAGCATAAAGATGTGCAACAGCCTTGTGCATTAGGGCAGAACAGTAGTTCAGAAGAGGGGAGGATACATTCCAAAGGTATAGGAAGTGGTGGCAGGTGGAGCCTGAGTGACATAGTGAGAATTGTGTTTTAGAAACCATCCTGATGACGTGGATTAGGGAGGGGAGAGGCTGGAAGCAGTTAGGATATGACTGTAAAATTCCAGGTGAAAGACAATGAGGACCTAAGGCTGTGACAGTGGCATGAGGCGAAAGGCGATGGCTCTGGGGGACACAGGGACTGCCACCAACAGGACTTGCTGATGGGTGTGGCGGTGCTAGGGGAGAGCCAGAAGTTGAGTATGAGTTTCATGGAAGGAAAGAAGCTCGTGGGGAAAGGTTACAGGTCCAGTTTGGGCTGTGTTGAGTTTGAGGAGCCTGAAGGACATTCAGGAGGAAACACCCAGCTGCAGTTGGGGCTAAGGAGAGAGTCTGGGGATGGTCGAGGGACGGTTAATAACTGCAGAAGCAGATGCGATCACTTGTGGGACGGCTCTAGCCCAGGGGACCATGGGCTGAGTGGTCAGGGCAGTTCTGGAATGAGTGCTGAAGAACGAGTAGGTTGGAAGTGTGTGGTGCTCAGGACACTTCAACCAAAGCTGGGTGGGGGGGCGTGCGCGGGGGTCGGGGGGCTCTCACATGAAACTAGGCTATGGGGGAACCTAGAATTATGGCCAGGGAGGTTGTACTCTTTTTTTCCCTGAAAGTAAACACAGTGTCTTAAGGGGATTGATTCAGTGGCAGTGCTCAGAACAGATTGGAAGGGAGAGACCAGAGGCAGCTGGGCTGCTTTAGGTGGCAGTTGCTGAGTGCCACCTAAGTTGATAAGGGCTTGGATGAAGCAAGACTGGAAATGAGGGGGTAAACAGGAGAGTCAGTTCCAGGAAGTGTCCACAGGCCATGCGCAGAGGGTGTGGCAGGGTGTGAGGGGAAGGCATTTTGCGCCTCAGTGACTGGATGCGGGGTCGTAGACAGGGCTGTGAGTACAGGGATAGTGTCTTGTTTTACCATTGTTTCTCTGGCGCCTGATACATACTATGTACTCGGTCAGCATTTGTCGAGTGGGTAAATGGTGCTCCTGTTGATAGAAATGGATGCGTCATAAACACTGGATTTGGAAAGAAGGTGGTGAGTTTGTGCCGTCTGGTTGAGGGGAAATCAGGAATCTCCTTTGAGGAGGTGGAGGGAATTTTGATGGTCAGAGGGCATGATCCAGGAGGAGGGCACTCAGGAGGGGTGTGTCTGGACAATGTTCGCTCACCAGGTTTAGCTCAAATATGAGGGCTTTCTAGGAGACTCGGTATTAAGTGTAAGAAGAACTGAGTGGGGAGGATGAAATGAGGTCCTGAGAGGAGGGTCTTTCCCCTTGAAAATGAACACCCATTGCCTTTAAGCCCTAGGGCATCCCCTTCCCTGGCAGGTGCCAGGATCAGTAAGTCCCTGTCTGCCATTCAGAAGAGCTCATTTGCTAAGACATTCTTCAGTGAAGGAAGAGGAAGTGTGCGTTTTGCTGGTGGCTTCTTTCTTTAGCCTCTATCTCGGGCTCAGCTTACCCTCCATGACTCAAGGTGCTTGTGGAGAGAGGCTGTGAAAACTCACATGATACCAGAGATAACCCAGGCCAGGCTTTATAGGAATTTTCCCTAAAAGAGCAACCAACCAGTTTTTTTCTCTACGGCCACAGGATCTTCAGGCAGAACAGGGATGGGAGGGAGAGGAGTGAATGAAGTCATTTTACAGTATTTATTTGCATGTATTATAGAAGACATTTCGAATGTATTTAACATGAGAAACAGAAGGCTACTGTATTCTGAGTATCCCTTAGAAACAAATATGCAAAACATCTCAAATTCAGACACGGGTATGAATTTTAGACTATGAAAATATATTCTACACCTCATATGTTGCTCAGAGGATTAAAAAGAAATGGATATATATTTATGGCCATGGATGAAAGGTAGCTAGCTATGTTTTGTAGTTTAGCAAATTCACTGTCTCTTTAGAGCTGTGAGACTTTCATTGGTAGGTAAACTAGGAGGCCCTGAACACATTGGTTAGTAAATGTTAATGTGGCATACCGTGGTTGGGACCTGGCTTCAAAGTAACGTGCAAATACGAGTTCTCAGATCACCTGAGCTGTGGACTTGACCCTAACATGACTGAGAGGAACCTTAAAGCACCAGCTGACTAGGTTGGTTTTTCTGTTTCAGAACATTAAGTACTTTTCCATATACAGTTGAGGATTTCTCCCATGAATAGGTGAAATACAGTTCATCAAGTACACTTTTAATTAATTACTAATGATAACAGTCCTGAACACCTACTGAGCATTTGCTCCAGGCACATATTAAGAGCTTTACATAGATCATTTATTCTTCCTAACAATCCTGTAATGTAAAAAAAAGTAGGCATTTTTCTCCCTGTCTTGCAGATTAGGAAACTGAGGCATAGAAAGGTTACCAAGCTAGTAAGTAGTGGTTCTGAGATTGGAACCCTGGCAGAGCCCATGCGGAACCGCTAAGCCTGAACCGTTAGGCCAGATGGCCTGGCAGGTTTGTGAAATTGCCTTGAATTAGAACAAATGGGAAACTTATCCAAAACAAGTATTTATCCTAGTAACCTCATAGGTCATTCAATATGTAGGAAATGCTGTAGAACCAAAGACTCAAAATAATTTGAGTCTTTTCAGCAGCTTGTTTGAGAACCTTTGGATGTTTGTCTCCTTTCCACTGAACAGAGCAGACCTTTCAACTTAGGTTTAAGCTAAATGTTCTGGATAATTAACGAAGCTGCTAAGGCCAATTCTAGGAAAAAAGAACACTTCAGCATCTAGCACGATGCAATCTGAAATGCTGGCGCCCTTGCTGTCGTTCTTCCTACACAGAGCACCTTACTGACATCACAAAACCACCGGGGGCCCCTCCTAGTCAGCAAAGGTACAAAACCACCCTGGCCAGGGCGCTTGGCTCCGCTGAGAATAAAAGCTATGCAGACTTGCCAGCTGGGGTGGTAAGTGTTGTTTCTTCTGCACTCTGGCTGGCTTGCAGGCCAGGACTCCTGCTGCGTGTATGCAAGCAAATGCAATCCTTGGCACTCTCCCAGGAAACCCAGAGTCCTGGCTTTATACCCAATCTGACAAGAAAGGATTTTTTCCCCCCCCTCCAAACCATTGCCAGGGAGATGAATTCTCATGAACCCCATATCTGGAGTGAAATCTGGAAAACCCAGTTCAGAGCTTTTGATGAAGCTGCTACAGGGTATTTTAGCAGCAGATCCTGAAGTATTAAAGGGCTGTTGATAGGGAAAGTGAAGCTTGGGAGGCCCTTTAAAAAAAAGTGTGTGTGTGTGTGTGTGTAGCCAAACGAATGGATGTCCACTGCAGAAAAAGGAATGGATGTCCACTGTAGAAAAATAAAACATAGATACGAAAAAATAAAGCCCTTTCATGGGATCCCATTTGCTTGTACAGTAAATCTTGTTTAATGCGTGAGGAGCAGATTGAAGAGCACCTGGACTAAAGATGCTATAGGAACTTGAGTCTCCTACTGGAATGCTTAAGGAAGGTAACGTTTCCATACTTTCTTCCTTTATAAAACTGCTCATACATTTAGCACTGAAGGAAATTAAGCTGCACAGCCCTGCAGAAATAACTAAAATGGTGAGGCTTGTTTCTTGGTTTGTGGCTAATGCCCCTGGCCACACTACTGACCACAGCTGGAGTCAGGTGATACCTGTATCAAAAACTGTGTGTGTGCTTCTTTCCCAGACACCAAATGGATTGCTTCTGACCCCGAGCCCACTGCTGTCCAGCATACATTTCTGGAGCAGCCTTAGTCCAGTTGCTCCACTGAGTCCTGCCCGGCTGCAAGGGCCAAACACGCTGTTCCAGGTGAGCATTTGGAAACGAACTTTTAAATGTGGAATTTCTAAGGGATGTGTTTCCCCAGTAAATCCTGCAAGGTAATATTTTCACTAAATGTAGGGCAGAACTCAGTTTAAGTTTCCAAAAGGAATTCATGTTCACGTGGCTGCAAAAGGCTGTCTTCAGAGGCACGTATTTTCACTGAGGTGGAGTTCTCATGTCAGATACCCATAAATAGAACAGTTAGTTCTTGAAGTGTTTTGGATATTTTCACTGACTATGAAAACTGGAAACTTATTAAGGAAAAAAAAAATTTTAATGGTATTTTATAAAATCTCATAAAAGACTTTAAAATACTAATCTATTAGTCAAGGTAGTGACATCACAAAATAAATTGAAAAATAGTGAACAGCTTCTCCAAACTGTAATAGAAAAGTTAGTTACCTGCATAATTCTATGAATCAGAATCAAGTTCTTGTTCCAAAAACAAAAAAAGAGCTTCCAGGTCATTTGGTTAAAATTGAATTAAGCCTCCGCTGTTTTATCTTGTAAAACTCCCTGTACTAGGTAAGCACATTCATTAGTCATTCCCACACTAGAATCCTGCAGTAGCATCACTTGCTATTGTGTGGAAATCAGTATTTCCTCTTGGAGACCCAAAGATTACTCACTGACCAAGATGTTCCTGTTTGAATATGTGAATGTAGTATAGAAGGGATCCTAGGGACAGGAATGAAGCGAAACTGGATAAAGTACAAACCCCCTCTTGACCTGATTCTAGCCTGGTCTGTCTCATTCACCCTGCATCCCACGTCTGCCCCCGCCCCCCAACACGGCTTACCCCAAGTTAGTTGTGGTTCTTTTGCTCTCGTTGCATCTAGCGCTTGCCACTTTGTGTTCATCTGGCAATCTCCCCACTAAACTGTGGGCCCTCAAGAGGCCATCTTGTTTGCTGTGGTGTGCGCCTAGCATCTAGCACATTTCTTGGCACACAGAACAATGTTCAGTAAGTATCACTGGCTGACTAAGGAATGGATGCTTCAGAATTCATCAAGAGATGTCTAAGAAAGTGTTAAAAGATCAGGCCTGCAGTGCTTTTCTGAGTTGTTCATTTTGCTTGTCAAGTTTAATATCTACTTCTGTGCCATGGGCTGTACATGCTGGTACTTAGGGTCTCATTGGGAGAAGGGTGGAGCTAAAGAGGTTTTGATTACTATCTTGCTTCTCTGGTTTCCTAATAGGTTGAGGTAGGGTGTCATGATGTGACTATATCCCTGGAGTCATCAGGTTTCTCTTCCCGGCCCTTCTTCTCATCACAAGAAATTGAGGATATGGTCATGCACAGCCAATGTGGTGATTCTTAGCCATTTTAACTCAGGCAAGGAAACAAAAACTAGAAATAGTGAGCAAAAACCAGTGAGCAAGTACAGTATTAGGCAAGTTTTAGATTAGTAATCTTTTGGTGGGGGAACTAACAGACCTTATTTCCTGGAAGTCTCCAGATGGGAGCAGCAGAGAGTTCCCGAGTAGAGCAGAAAGGAGTTAGTTGTATGGTGCATACGTACAGCCAGCTCCATGGCGGTAGGGGCTGTAATACTACTCTAATCCTAGAACCTAACACAGGGGCCTCTCTAGGCTTCCCTATATACTTGTGAATAATGAATGGACTCTTACTTCCCTCCTCACTGGGAATTCTGCCACCTGACTGGTGCAGGGCTTGGTGACCTCCGAAGGAAGCCATGGAGAACTACTGGTTGGGAGTTCTTTGAGATCTCTTGCCTTAGACATTAAACCTTTTCCAGCCCGTTACTCCCAACAGGAACAGTGGTTCGTGTCCATAGTCATTCTACACATTAGTAGGATATCAGGAGCTCTGGGAATTAGGAGATAGGCATATCCCTCCTCTTCAGTCACTACTGTAGACCAGGGGTTCTCAAAGTTAACGTGCAACAGAATCAGCTGGAGGGTGTGTTAAAATGCAGTTTGCTGAGCCCCACCCCCCGTTTCTGATTCAGAAGGCCTAGGATGCGGCCTGATAAAAACATTCTTTCAAGTTCTGCTGCTGCTCCAGGAATCACACTTTGAGAACCCTGAGGACCAGCGGCGGTTCCTAATTGACATTTAGAATTCTGCAGAAGAAATGCTGCATTTAAGGGCTACCTGCTCAGAATTTCGATTTCACAAACTGGACCTGTCCTCTTCTCCTGGAACCATGCACAACAATTCCTGAAAAGGAAAGTGCAACCAGGTTTGGATGGCTGACAGGTCGCATGGCCTTGGGCCCTCTTTTTGGGATTGGGATCCATGAGACTAAGGGAAAACAATTTTGTACCTTTCAAAGTATTATTACTCTTCCTATGATAAGAGCATTGAGCTGGTGAAAGCTGAATAGCAGTTTTGAAAATGGTAAACAACATGGTAAGAAGAAGAATTTGATTTTTAGTAATTAGACATTTCAAATGATGGGTTTCAGATTACTATCAACAGTACCCCTTTTTAAACTAATGAAAATAAGTTTCTTTAAAAATAGCAAGCCTCTATCACATATGCTATGTGAATGTGTCAGAGGAGGAAACAACTTAGACTTGGCCTATAGTAAGTTTTAAATGATGCTGGCAGATTTCCTGCTATGATGATTAGAAAAGATCAGAATCCTTAGGGTAACAGTTGACAGAGCTGAGGGGTTTTGGCACAGAAGGTCCCCTGATATTACTATAGTAAGTGAGAGCAGATACTGAAAATTTTAAGGGAAGGAGAGTGAAGATACCACCCTTTCTAGAAGAGGTATGCTTTGGAATCTAGACACGTTTTAGTGAAGAGAGAGATGCCAAAGACATTGCGCTAAATCTAAATATACAACCTTGATTTATAAATAGAGATGGGTTACAATTGGACTGTTTAGCATTTTAAGCTTGTCTTTAGGATATCTGTTCCACTTTTGAAACAGATTTTGATCAGATTTGGAATACACCTAGTCGGTACAGCTGTATCTTGAAACAAGGTAATTTTCAATTGAGAATGTTTTCTGTAATTTTTAATTCAACAAATGTAACCCAGCAAATATTCGCAATGCTCTGAGGCAGGGACTGTGGGGATATACAATATGTGAATAAGAGATGTGTAAAAAAGTGCTACAGGAACCCAATAGGAGTAGTAGCTCTTTCCAGCTGGGGACTGGACAGAGGCTCCAAGGCAGAAGTGTCACCTGAGCTAGGAAGAAGGGACAGGAGTTTGGCAAAGTATATTCTAAATGAATAGATCTGCATCATTTGGATATGCAAGTACATAGTCTGTTCTGGAAGGAACTGGGTGATAGGAGACTGGTTGGAAAAGCAGCTGTGGGATTTGAATAGTATACCAAGGAGTTGTTAAGTGATAACCATGGAAGGCTTTTTAAGCTGGAAATAGCATAACATCTCTATTTTAGAAAGACAGCGCTGATATCACAGTGTGGAGAAAGCACAGAAGAGAAAGTGTAAGGGGCAGGAAAACATGAGGAAATTTATACTATTCCAAATTCTGAGCGAGGAATCATCTTTTAGATAAGAACGGTGAAAACAGGAGTGTATTTAGAAGACATTCCAGAGGTAAAATTGAGAGGATGACTGACTTAGCTGAGTGTAAGTAGGTAGTGAAAATTAGGAAGAGGCAAGGATTACTCAGTGATTAGAAGACTGGGAATGCTATTGATAACAATAGTTACCATTTTTTTTGAGGGCGGCTGTATACCAGACATTGTTCTAAGCACACTTTTTCATGGCTTCTTATTTAATAGTCCCAATACTTCTATTTGAAAAGATAACCAATTTCACGAGAAAAAGAAAAGATAGCTAAGGCCCAGAGATGTTGCTCAACTTACCCAAGATCACATGTTAATAAGTGGCAGAGCCCTGATTCACGTTTAGGGTTGAGCTCCTTACCACCACTCTTCTTGACGTAAGAGTGAGTGGGGAAGAGGCATTGGTGGGGATATCTGACTGACATCAGGAAATGTTTGCTGAGTCCAGTATAGGAGAAGGGAAGGCTGAGGACAAAAGTTGGGGAATGCTGTAATTTAAGAAAAGGGACTGTGTGTGTATGATCTGGGGG